AGCAAATGGCTGCAATATAACAAAGAGTGAAACATTTAAGGGGGTCTGAATACTTTCCGTACCCACTGTATATAGTTTCTGGTCCCCATTGATCTCCATATATATAAAATATTTTTTTTTTTTTTTTTTTTTGTCCATACTATGGAAGTCAAAGTGGACTAGAAAGTGTTTGGTTACCCACATTCTTCAAAATAGGAAAATATGATATCCTCTCAACAGAAGAAAGGAAGTCATACAGGTTTGTAACAACATGAGGGTGCATGAGTAGATGATGACAGCATTGTAATTTTTGGGTGAACTATACCTTTAAGATTATCACATTTAACAAATGTTGGGTTTGGGTACCATACTTCACAACTAAAGGTTGGTGTTGGACGTCAATATGATGTTGGCATAAGACGATACCATGACTTAAAAGCATCAAAATATCAATGTCAGTATTATGGGTCACACTGACATTGGGATTAGATGTTGTCCTGACATCATCACCAATGTCAGAACCTACATTCAACTGAATATTCATGTCTTACAACGATGGTGGCCTGCTGGAATAGTCATGTGTAGTGTATTGACATACAATTATTACTTACTAGGTAGATGGCCAAGCTCATTGAAAAACTTGTTCTTCATGTTTATGAAGTTGTGGGAGTGGTGAGAGGGAGGGGGCAGAGGGGGTGGAGCAGGTTTGGGCTCCTCCTCTGATTCTGCTGCCCTCCGCACACGATGCTGCATGCTGACCAAACGCATGGCTGATCAGCTAGAGACATAAAACAAGACTGTTACTGTCCTGACATAACCTACATAAACTAAATGCCCCAAATCACACATATTGTGTAGATCAGTCTCACATCCTCTGAAGAATTCATTTAATGTGCCTCTTTTTTTTTTTTATAATGTGCTCCTTTTCCTCCCATCCACCGCCCCTCCTTCTGTAAAGCCGACGGGAGGGAAATGTTCTCTTTCCCTCCTGACCTCTGTCCTGTTTGTGTCTGCCATGACTTTTGATGGCGTAAGCTCTTGATGCTAGAGCTCAGCATGTCCATTATTAATCCTGGAATTGTAACATATCAAAACACAACCATGCACATGTTATGCCCATGTGTTCAAGAAATATTTGTCATACACATTAACACACAATGGTTATGTTTCCACCTGCTCTACTCTGTTGAACTGAACTCTTGTCACTCTCAGCAGATGCATAACTAGATTAATTACCAAAGCTAATCCAAAAATCCTTGGGTTTAAGTAAATTAGGAACAGGGCTCTCCCACTCCACTTTCACACTTGAGCCTACACAGCCAACAGTATCTTGTCACCAGACCGCTATGTAAGACTAAAGACTTCAGGAGGCCACTGCTCTTTATTGTATATAAGAACATGTTGAGCAGCAAAGTCACAGCTGGATTTATGAGGGCAGGACTTTATTATGATTCTCTTCCTGTACCTTGTTTCCCCGTCAGCCACATGGACTGACCACAATGATGAAAGATGATGAACATAAACCTTTTTGTTAGTCACAGTAAAAAAAATGAAATTCTTCATTTTCTCTATTGACCTTGCTGAGTTATCATGATTAACTTATGACTGATCAATTTTCTTCACTTTATATGCACGTGATATCTATACATATATATTTAATATATACCTCACCAATAAAATGGTTAATAAAATGACTTTGAGAAAGACATAAGATCGATATATTAAGATTATTTTTACATCCCGGTGGTCACTTTAATATAATTTTCTTATATATTTTTCTGTCATTTTTAATGGATTTTTCACCCATAAAAAATATGATTTAAATTTGTTAGTGTGTGAACTTTTTTAAAACATGTAAAGTCATATACATTATGTGCATATATAATTATTAGGGGTATATAAAGAATTGCTTAAATGTGTTCGCTGTTTAGAAGCATCATTGCTACAGCTGAATTAATGTAGCTCACCTGTGCATCAACCACTCAGGAGAATATTGTAAATATAATATTTATATAAATAGAATATATTTATTTTATTTTTTAATAAAAAAAGCTAACGTTTTTTCATTTAGATATATAATATATGCTTATTTATTTATTTAAATTTAGGTAAAATGTTAGCTAGGGCACAAGTCTATTTGATTCATGTAGCAGTTTTTAGCTGTTTTCCATATTTAGTATTCTGACATCTGCTAAATCTATACACAGTAGTTCCTATACACAGCCTCCAACATTTAAAAGTTGTTCTACATTAGTTTTTGAATGAGAAAGGGGAATTAAACGTTTGTAACATCTAAGTGATTTTTTTTTCTCTTTTCTCATCTTTTCCATAAAAAGCAGATACCATGAAAGTGTGTAATCTGAGAGTTCAGAAAGCATCATTTGTGTCATTTGCTGACACGTCTGCAATAATCTGGCTAAAGAGGTGCGTCACAGGCCATCAACCGGCTGTCATACGGCCTTGTTTTTCTTTCCTTCATCTATACTTTGTCTACCAGCGGGCAGAACTGCTGTATTTTCAGATTACCTAAATCTCATCCAGTCACTTTTCCGTTAAAAAATTAAAAATGAATAAAAACCTTCTTAGTACTACACACAGTTGTCCAAGACTGAAGAGCATTTACACACATAGGCTAAGCATCAATTTAGTCGTCTGAGCCTTAAATAGTCTTAAAGAAAAGATTTAGGTTACTGTTATGTGGAGAACAAAAAAATTACTATATATTTCTTAATAGTTTTCACTTATACATGAAATTTAATGTGAATGGTCTTTTTCATTTAGCTTGTCTGTGGACTGTGTTGTAGTTTATATAGTCTCCATGAATTTAACTGGTGGTGACAATTTATTCTTTTAATATTTTAAATGCATATATCCTTTTGCTGTTCACTCAAACTACATCGTGACACATTTTCAAGTAGTTACAACTATTTCCATGTAGTATCTTAATTAATATGATGCTATAAATTGCACAGGCTACATAATAATCATAAAATAACTAGAAATGTTTTTATTTTTTATTTTTTTAAATGACACTACATCGAATCAATTCTAAGATAGTATAATGTTTACATGAATAAGCGGAGCTGATAAGCAAACAATAATCAAACTTACCTGATGATGTGCTTCTGATCCAACTCTCTTATATAGATAGAAATCTGTGCTTTGTTGAGGACAGTGTCGCAGTAGCCCTCTCACACACTGCTCTTACTCTTATCATCTGTCCCTCTCTCTCCTCTCTCAAAGCGCATTTGAATCGCCAAACCCTCTTTCACTTGGATTAATCGTGCTCTCCCTTCTGTTCGCAGTTCTGTGCCCTGGGTTTTCTCATGTGACAATATTATTTCATCCACTTCTTACACTCGTTTATCAGTTTGCCCATATAATCTCCTGCATGCTGTTTATCCGATTCTAATTTCCAGTATAATTTTCGTTCAGTGACCCTTCTGAATCCGATTAGTCGGTGGTTCACTGCTGCTAATAGGCATGAGTGGTATGGCATAAGGAGGCTGTAAACTTTGTTAATTGGTTATGAAATAAGGACAAGGCTTCACCAATAGCTGACGATTATTGAGATATTGAAAAAATAAATATTCAGTTGAACCACAACGGGCCTTGCTTGGTCTTTCAGTGCTCATGATCAATGTGCGATTATAAAACATAGGCCTACGGAGGAAACAGCACCCTCATGTGGTAAAATGAAATGCTACAACTGTAGTGCCGTGCAAATTCATGTGAATATTTAGATTATTCATTTAGAAGACTACGAAAAGGTTGCAAGTTAGTATTTTGTATTTTCTCTCTTTATAAAATATTAAGTTGTACATTAAATTGTATGATGTGCAGTTGTGTCAGTGACATCCTCCTTACAGGATGGAGATGAGTGAAGTGTCTTGTCTATTTTCAGTTTATGGGGTTTGTTGTCGCCGTTACAGTAGATTTGTACATTAATCAATTACAGTATTGTGACCATCTTTATTCACAGCTTTTTCTGCGGGCAGAAAAATTCAGATACAGTCCGATATAATAATTACAGCCCACTAAATGCATCCTGCAATTTTAAATAAAAAAGACAAGGTTATTCAGCTCAGAAGTTTTATTTAAATTCACCAGGTCAGTCACTGCACACTCAGCAAGAAAGCATTGCTTGATGGCAATCACAGGATGACTATTTAAAACAGTAACACTGCATCATTTTATCATAACAAGAAACTTTAGTTGATGTTAACCTTTCAACCTCTCAGACTTCAAAATTTTGCACAAGAGCTGTGTGATAAGAACAAGAGAATAGTGTTTCTATTCATTCATGTATTGATAGGATCTCAGGGCTGCATTTAGCTGCTGTCACCATCCAGGGTGTGCTTGTCAAACAGAGACTCTGCCATCCTGTTGTTGCCAGCATCCATCTTGGTAAGGTTGGTGATGTGGTCACCAAGCTTCTTGATGGCCTCAACCTGCTCATCCAAGTAGTGAATCTCCAGGAAGTCACACAGCTGTTGGACAAACGATCAGAACAGAATTTAGGAAAATAACATGCAACAACCCAAAATGGATGACAATACTTGACAGAGTAACTTGACATTTTAAGTAATTTTAAAGGCTGTTGTTGGCTTAGGTCTGATTTTATAACCACAAAAAATATTATCTTAATACTTCTTTGTAAACTATTGAAGTAACAAAACCATGGTTCATTTGTGGTTACCATCCATGGCTACAAGAACCATGATTTTTGGTTTTATTCGTAAAACCATGGTCAATTTTTGTAAGGGAACATGAAAAGTCAGAGAGAGTATTAGATGGGTTGTTGGTGGTTAAATTATCACCGACATTAAAACACGTTATTAACTTCAACATCCAAAAAAGTTTCACGGGATTATGAATGTAGGCTACCTGAAAGTGATGCACGGGCTTCATCTTTTTTTCTTTCTTTTCTCGGCGCCGGATTGCTGATGTCTTTTCACAGCAATTATGATCATTTGCATTCAGCCACAAACATGAGGTGCGAGCAGGGTTTTAAAAAAAAATTTTTTTTTTAAATGAGGTGCGAGCGGGCAGATGCGGGAATGGCGCATGTGCTTATAGCCTTCACCGTAAAATGCATTTTTTTATAACTATATATATATATGTTCATCTTTAGATTTGTATTTATGTATATGTAACGTTATATGTTCATTTTAATATAGAACGAAAGTTTTTTTTGAGCAACTGGTATGGTATGCAGCTCAACCAGGTCTCGTCCCATTCGTTGATATTTGTGATATCACAAATCCCGGAAAATATGGGTTGTAGTCCAAACGAGGCGTTCTTGTAGTTTTTGAAAAGTGATTTCTGTTAAATAAAATATCTCCTTTTGAAGTGGACTTTGAGCTTTGTAACTTTGCAGATCTTTTTTATGCTCAAACAGCAACATTACAGACTAACTAAAGTTGAAAAAGTGAAAAAGCATGATAGGGCTCCTTTAAATAAACATTTAGTATTTAGTAAATATAACTTATCATGTAAATTTAATAAACAAGTAAGATACTTTTCACTAGCATTAGCGCAGTCGTGGATCATGGAGTCAATGTGTTAGTCACCCACAATTTAACTATGAGCACTACTTTTCAGCACCATGTTAAAGGGTTAGTTCACCCAAAAATGAAAAATAGCGCATGAATTACTCACCCTCAAGGCATTCTAGTTGTATATGACTTTCTTCTTTTCAGATGAATCCAATCGGAGTTATATTAAACATTTTCTTTGATCTTTCAGCGGGTGTTGCAGTGCATCAGTCCAAAAAAAGTGAAAATCCATTCATAATAAAAAGTGTCTCACACGGTTCCGGGGGGTGAACAAAGGCCTCCTGTAGCGAATCAATGCATTTTTCTAAGAAAAATATCTATATTCAAAACGTAATAATCACTTTAATCTAGCTTGCGCCAACATATGTACACAGAAGCAGCTCCAGGAGCATGATGTATATGTTCAGCGTTGCGCATGCGCCGGTGAGTCTCCTGAAAACCAACGTTTGTTAACAGGAGCAAATTAAGCAAAGTTTCCTTACTTTAGCAAAGGAAAACCAGTCTCCTGGAAATCCTCTGACATTCTTCTTTACAAATCCTCGATTTGTACTTCTAATTCGTGACCGTTGTTTTGTTTTGCTCTCTCCCCTGTGCTTCCGCATGTGTCACTTCTGAGCGGCGCATGTGCAAAACTGACCTCATACGTCATTCCCCCGGAACTGCTTCCGTTCAACAGTGAGCGCAAGCTAGATTAAATTGATTATTACATTTTAAATATGGTTATTTTTCTTACAAAAAATGCATTGATTCACTACAGGAGGCCTTTGTTCACCTCCCGGAGCCGTGTGAGACACTTTTTATTATGAATGGATGTGCTTTATTTCACTTCTTTTGGACTGATGCACTGCAACACCCGCAGTGATCATCAAAATATGATTTATGATTCAGTACTCATAAATTATATATGTAAACTTTAGATATAAGTTAATAAATGGTTACATATAGCCTACAGCCAAGTCCCACAATTTTGAATGAAAATACAAGTCAATCCAGTCCAAAATGTTTATTCCTCAAATACACCAGGTTAAGACCAATTAGTGAACATTTAACAGGAAAGCAATGGTTTGGCTATAACAAGATTGCATCAACCTTTACTTGTTAAACCTTTCAGTTGTTTAAAATGTACAATTCTGTATATGAGCTGTGTCATGAAAAAATTATGTGCTCTTAAAACCTGATTTAAAAGCACTTTGAAGCATGCAAATGATCAGAGGGCTGCATTTAGCTGCTGTCGCCATCCAGGGTGTGCTTGTCAAACAGATACTCTGCCATCCTGTTGTTGCCAGCATCCATCTTGGTAAGGTTGGTGATGTGGTCACCAAGCTTCTTGATGGCCTCAACCTGCTCATCCAAGTAGTGAGTCTCCAGGAAGTCACACAGCTGTTGGACAAGAGATCAGAACAGAATTTAGGAAAATAACATGCAACAACCCAAAATGGATGGCAATACTTGACAGAGCCATGTATATGAAGGCTTAGAATAAATTAAGCTTCAACACCAACTAACCCAAGTTACTTATTATACCACTATGACTTGCACTTTTCTTATTGCTTTTTCAGAGAGGTGTCTTTTTCATGTCTGAAGGTAAATCTTCAGAACTCACATGAGGGTCTCCCTTTTGAGAGGCAACCTTATGCAGGTCCAGCAGAGCCTGGTTGACGTTCTTCTCCAACTGAAGAGCGCACTGCATAGCAGTCAGTCCATTGTCCCATGCATCACGCTCTGGTTTCTGAAGAGAGATACAATCAGAACAGTGAGCAAAATACACATATGCCTAAGGTCTTTCCATAACAAAAGACTTTGTTCAAAACACTGTCAACACACCTTGACATTCTGAAGGACGATGCGTCCACCCCTCTTGTTCTGGAACTCCATGAATCTCTCAGCATGCTCGCGCTCCTCCTCACTGTTCTTCTTGAAGAACTTGGCAAATCCAGGAAGGGTGACGTCATCCCGTTTGAAGTAGTGAGCCTGAAAGTAACAAAATCAAGTATCATATTTAAACAAAAAAAAGGTAAGGTAAATAAGGATTTGGAATACTTATTAGGATATGATTTTAACAGCGATAGAGAAGGATACAGGATATTAATAAAATACATATATACTACTGGATTAAGTGAAAGGATTTAAATATACAATGCGGATGCTCTATTCTATTCTGGATCTTTAGGAGACCACGGATTTAGTCTGGAGGAGCTGAACACGTAGCGCCAGGTGGAGCCTGGGGAGAAGGAATGGGATGGAGCATCGAATAATTGAATATTTGTGTATATACAGGTGTGTAAGAACAGGAAAAGCAAAAACGAGGAAGAAATTGATAATAAATAAACCATGACTGCATAACAGCAAAAGTAGGTGGCGATATGCACACAAGATGTAACACGCCAAAAAAACGGAAGAAGAAGAAGAAGAACAAAATCAAGTTTAGAACATAGGGTTGAACGTAAATAAGCAGGCTATACAATATTTACACATAGTGAGTCAAGATATAATGCAGCACTGAGAAATGACCGAGAATAAGATTATTAATGAAAAGATGTGATTTGGAAGAGAGATGAACAAAAGAAAGAAACACTTGCCATGGACGTGTATGTGTATCCAGCGTAAAGCTCCAAACTGATCATCTTGTTGATCAAAGCCTCGCAGTCGCGGTCGTAGTTCTGGCGAACCTGAGAAGTCTCCATTTCGGCGGATTTTAGAGTTTTATTATAAAAAACGTAAAAAAATTTTTTTTTATTTCGATGAGATCGAAGTTCCGTTCAATCACTGTTGAAGCAAGAACCTCTTAGATCTTCCCGAAGCTGTGAGTGAAATGATCATCATCTTGTATCTTATATACGATCGGCGCATAATAATGCTGAGTCAGTGGAACTGAAACCAGCCAGTCAAAGAACG